AAGGCCCCAGGCAAGTGTGTCCCTGGGACCTGAGTACCGCTCTCCGGAGGTGGGAAGAACGCCCCTCACGTGGACTTGACGAGTAATTGAGGTTCAAACCTTGTGATTTCTTGTTCTTAGGATAATAGCATCCACTACGAGAGTGCACAGAAACTCTAGATGTTTCCTAATAACCAGTCTGCCATACAGTCATCCCCCCTGGATAGATACAACACTTTTTTCAGACTCTAGACTTACACGTAAGGAACAAGCTGAAAACTCAGTATACTCTTATATTACCAATAATCTCATTTTCATACACAAAGAACAGAATCTATCTGTTTGGCCTATCTATATACATAGTCAAATTTTTTCCAATTTAAAAATTTTCCTTTTGCTAAAATTTTTTTTTTAATATTTTATTTGACAGAGAGAGACACAGCAAGAGAGGGAACACAAGCAGGGGGAGTGGGAGAGGGAGAAGCAGGCTTCCCGCCGAGCAGGGATCCCGATGAGGGACTCGATCCCAGGACCCTGGGACCATGACCTGAGCCGAAGGCAGACGCTTAACGACTGAGCCACCCAGGTGCCCCTGCTAAAATTATTATCAGAATCATTTCCCATGTAAAATTTTTCAGTGAAGCCTCATTTTATGGCTCAAGGTTTTTGTTTTGGTTTTGGTTTTGCTCATATCAACCAATTATAGCATCTGCAATTAGTAATTTACTTTTATGGACATTATATCTACCAAGTCATATTCTAAATCAAATTTTGCAATTAGAAATTTATCAGAAAGATTTGCTTCTGTCAGTTTTTAGTCAACATATTTTTCTGTGTGCAATTTTTGTTTTGTTTGATTATATTTACTATTAATATTCATTACAAATCAGATAAAAGAAAATAGCTTGCATTTATTTTTTAGCTAATCCATAAGAAAATAGTAAGCCAATTCAGGATCGCTATACTGTTAAGGATTGGGCTACTGTATGGCTCAACCGATTCTGCTGAATATGTTTCCTTCACTTTGGGTATTGATTGCATCTTAAAGTGCTCCATCTTGGTGGAGCAAAGAGCATGTGGCAGGGCAAAAATGTTTTGCTTTGCTCCAAATGCAACCATGTTTTGGGGGAAGAAAGGTAGGGGGTATGATTTTTTTTTGTTTTGTTTTTAAGCATTTTGCTGTCTTTTTCCCTGATTTTTTTTTTTTTTTCTATTTTCTAGTCCTTCTCTAAACTTTCCGGCCCCTTGAGTTCTCTGACTCATCATTTCATTCTCTTGCCACTGTGTCTGCCCCACTTGTCTCCCTCCCCAGTCCTTTTTCTGCTTGTTTTGGCCCTTTCTTTCCCACATCTCTGTGTCACTCACTGCCCCAGACCCTCTCCTCTGAGGGTGTAGCTGTATTTCCCCTCCTAGTTGCTTTCATATTGCCCCACCCCCACCTCCTTCCAAGAGTTGCTTATCAGAGCCCTCAATGTCATGATTATAAAGGCGCAGAGAGAAACTCTTGCCCCTGCCGTTCAGCATCCCACCGGGATCAAGTAACCAAGAGAGGTTGTGAACCTGTGCCCCTTGTATGGCTTTAAAAGCAGCACTGAGGGAGGGCTGCCTATGTGGGCCTGATTTTATGGAATCTGTCTGAAGACAGAGGGATGGATGATGTGATCTCAGGAGGGCCCTGCCGGATCAAGGAACCCGGGAGCCTCATCTAAGTCAGTCATCATCAGTTTAGATTTATTGGACACCCCCTGGGTGCTTGGAGCTGTGCTAAATGATTTCATCCTTCACGCCCTGAAATCCAGTTTCTGCCTTTTTAGTAGCTGCTTAGAGTATTGTAATATTGGGCTGAGTTTTTGCAAGCTTTTATTATTCTTTTATTATGTACTACAAACCAGGTTTTAAAAATTGACAGAGGATTTAGTAATGATGTGAAGGATTTTCCTTTATTTCTTTTAGCGTAAGATTCTATAGATTCCCATGGCATATGGGTTTCTCTCCAGCTAATGTGAGATCAGAGGGCATATCGAAAAGTGGGTAGAATAATACTTATGGAGAGAATGTCTTCTGGGCACTGGACGGGGTGGGGCCGTGGGGAATATTGGGAGAGGCTTGGGAAAGGAAGAACAGAGGTGGAGACAGAAGAGGGAGGAAGGGAGACAGAAAGTGCTTGGGAATAGTTTTTTATTTAGTCAGTATTTATTGAGTGCCTACTCTGTGCAGATAGTTTTCTAGATGCTGAAGATACAGCAGTGGAAAAAATATATTAAAAATCCCTACCTTCATGAAGCTTATATTCTAATAGGAAAAGAGAGCCAATAAAATAAATGAATAAAGTTTGTGACATGTACCATAGCAACAAATAAAGCAGAAAAGGAAGGTAGGAGGCCTGGGAGTTTTCATTCTGAAAAGATGATCGCGGAAAGTCTCTTTGGTAAAGTAAGGACCCGAAGGAGACAGGGAATGAGCGAGTGCAAAAAATCTAGGTGGAGAGTGTAGTATTCTGAACAGAAGAATCATCTGGGGGAGCAGCAGGGCAGGGGAGGGCAGGACGGGAGCCGGGAAACCAGTTTGGAGAACAGGTTGATGAACCAGGCGGGACGCGAGGCTGCCTGGGACTGGCCGGACGCGGGCGAGAAGGCCGGGCTCCGGGAGTGGGCACGGGTTGGGAGACGGGAGTGAGGCTTGATTTGAACAACAAGGAGGATGGAATTACCGCAGCCAAGCCGGGAAGGACGTGGGTACAGAGAGCGAAGAGCTGGTTTGGGAGCAAGTTCAGCAGTTCTGTTTGGGACATGTTAAGTCTGAGTTCTGTGAGAATGGAAAATAGTGTGGGAAGGAGCCATTAATGAAGGAGAGAACCAAGGATGTGACGCCTGCAGAAAACATGGATTTGGCTAGAATGAGGTCTGGGAGGAAGCATGGGACGTATGGCAAGGAGCAACTTCTGTAGATGGACCGAGGGACAGGCAGACGGACGGATGGATGTGAAGCTGGTGCTCGAGAAGCCCGGGAAGCTGCTAGAGGGAACGGAGAGCGCTCACTGAGGAAAAGCAACAAGTAGGAGTAACATAGGTGGCCTGGGTGAGCCTAAAGGAGGGCACGCCGCGCGGGTTTTGAAGTGAGATGAGGAATGAAGCCCTAAAGGAAGAAAAGGCAGGGGCTGGCGATAAAAATACCCTTGAGGTGTGAAGGAAGCTGAGTGTGATGGAGGTGGGCGATCTGGACGTGGGCTGAGAAGTCTGGCCTCTAAGGAAGGTGTCAACATGGCTCTCCGGGACAAGGGAGAGGTGTAGCTTGATGGCGTCAGGGAAGGGGAAGGAGCTCTGAGGCTGGGGAAGGTTACCGGGCTGGTCCTGGAGACCCCGAGACACTCCTTCTGGAACACAGGCAGGTGGCAAGGGGTGCTGGAAGGTGTTCAAGCGCACAGCCTGCTCCTCTTATAAGGCGTTTCACTGTTCCCCGATGTTCTTTTACTTCGGGGCATATTCTCAACCTCAGAGCTTATGAGTGTCCGTGGGATGCGTGGTGGTTACAGAGCAATGCTCTTACGAAATCCCAACGCCTTCACACTGTGAACGCGGTGGTAAAGAGCTGACTAGCTGGTGTCCAGGTTACCCATTTCCTCTTGTTCTCTTTCCTATTGGTTGGGTTTCTTCTGACTTTTTGTTTCGCTGCTTATTGGCCCATTGAGCAGAAAACAAGGCAGTTTTACAACTCAACTACTGAAAACACTTGCGATCCATTATTTGAAGTTCTGACAAAACTGTCCATGGATGAGATGAAAACCGATGATTGAATTAAGAGTATTAGAGTTACATATGGATTCAAAACACCTGATCTGGCTGTAATTACAAATAATCAGTCATCTACCAAATGAGTCAAAATTTCTTCTTTTACCATTTTCCTCTCTACATTTTCCCTTGTTGCACTTCTATTTCTTTATCTTCTCCCATATTCCCTCCAGTTCTTCCCGCTGACATCAAGCTCAGGGTCCTCAGGATTCAGAACTTGAGCAGAAAGCAGATGTTTGTGCTGTTCCAGCATCCTTGGTGGGGAGAGAGATGATGTCATTTTACAGTTAAGGAGGAGGGGAGGGACGGAAAGGGGCCTAGGAGAGCTAGGTGACTGGAAGAAGCTCTGGCCACAGAGAAGGCGGCCTGTAGCTGGGAGGGCTCCCCATTCTGGGCTGGCTGGGCTGGCCAGGGAGAATTGGAAGTAGGGGGAAGGACACGTCCCAAAGCCCTTGGTTACGTTGCTTGGGCCCACATTTGGGGTGGGGGTGGTGGTGAGGACGGGGAATTAGATGACCCTTCAGTTTCCATCTGGAAATGAGATTCTAAGATTCTGGATCTAGGGAGGAGGGGAAGAGGCGATACAGAACAGAGCTCAACCCCGGGCCGGTAAGGATCCCTAGGAGAGTACCCGAGGCCGGCAGTGGGATCCCCCCCCCCCACCCCCATCTACCCCGCGGACGTGCTGCCTCCTGCCTAGAGCAACGGAAAGGCTCCTGAGTCAGTCCCACACTGCTTCACGCCGGAGCCTGGGCCGCCTGGATTTGGAGGGGGTGGCGAATGAGTGGAAAGCCCTGGGCCTGGGTTTGGAGAAAGCTGGGAAGGTAGTGGGTAGAGAATGAGGTGGGGGGTGGTGGTGCAGTTCAGGAGTCCCGGTCCTGGGAATGGCATTCCTTTGATGTACACTGATTGCCCTCCCCCCCACCCGCTGTAGTGAAATCTGTGCTGGTTAATACCTTTCTTTCCATCTCTTTGTCTTCCCTGCACCTCCCCCCCCCCCCCCCCCCCCCCCCCCCCCCCGCCCGCCCGCCCCCCCCCCCCCCCCCCCCCCCCCCCGCGTCCTGGCTGTGCTGTCCTTGTCTCCCTGCCCCCCACCTGCTCCCGTCCCCGTCCCTCTCTCCCCGCCGCCCGTTCTGGCCGGGCCTGGCCGCGCTTCCACGGGCCGCCTCCGCCCTGCCGGTCTTTTCCCTGCCGGCCCCTTCCGCATCCGTTGGTTTCCGCGCCCCACGGCAGAGGGGAAGGTGTACAGCTCGGACGAGGAGAAGCTGGAGGCGCCAGCGGGGGACCCAGCGGGCAGCGAACAGGAGGAAGAGGGCTCCGGCGGTGACAGCGAAGAGGACGGTTTCCTGGACAGTTCCGCAGGCGGCCCCGGGGCTCTCCTGGGACCTAAACCGAAGCTCAAGGGAAGCCTGGGGACTGGAGCGGAGGAGGGGGCGCCGGTGGCGGCGGGAGTCACAGCTCCTGGGGGCAAGAGCCGACGGCGCCGCACAGCATTTACCAGTGAGCAGCTTTTGGAGTTGGAGAAGGAGTTTCATTGCAAGAAATACCTGAGCTTGACAGAGCGTTCCCAGATTGCCCACGCCCTCAAGCTCAGTGAGGTGCAGGTCAAGATCTGGTTTCAGAATCGGCGCGCCAAGTGGAAGCGCATCAAAGCCGGCAATGTGAGCAGCCGTTCTGGGGAGCCCGTAAGAAACCCCAAGATTGTGGTACCCATACCGGTGCACGTCAACAGGTTTGCCGTACGGAGCCAGCACCAACAAATGGAACAGGGGGCCCGGCCCTGAAGGGGCTCCCAAGGATTCTGGAAGCGAAGGATCTGTTCCCGGGCCTGCTCTGAGACTGGGTCAGGGTTCTGCGGACCAGAGGGGCTACCACTGTGATCCTGCCCTGGGAGGGGGCTCAGGTGGCAACTAACTTTAGTGCTGGGTGTGCTCTCCTGGCAAGCTGGGACGTGGGCACTGGGCCCTGCGCCTATTCCAGAGACCCTGAGGACGGGGAATTAGATGACCCTTCAGTTTCCATCTGGAAATGAGATTCTAAGATTCTGGATCTAGGGAGGAGGGGAAGAGGCGATACAGAAC